CCAAAAAATTTGAGGAAGTGAGGATTGAGCTATAAGGGTGAGACCTTTTTCAACAATGACTCGATTTCGACGTTCGACAACTCCATTTTGTTCTTGAGTATGGGGACAAGAGAGACGGTGTAAAATACCATGTTGATGAAGAAACTTAGAAACATTTCGATATTCTCCCCCCCCCCCCAGTCAGTCTGTAAACTTTTGATATCACATTGAAATTGAGTTTTTATCATTGTTCGAAACAGTAAGAAAGTTTCAAAGACTTGAGATTTTTGTGATAAGAAATAAACCCAGACAAATTTAGTACAATCATCAATAAATAAGACAAAATAGCGACTTCCATTAAAAGAGAAAACGGGGGAGGGTCCCCAAACATCAGAATAAACTATTTCAAACGGTTTTGAGGATGTTACATGGGAACTAGGGAGATGAAGTCTATGACTTTTTCCTAGTTGACACGACTCACAAACAGTAGGAAACTTATTGGTAGACACGGGAAGATTGAATGTAGAAACTAAACGTCGAAGAAGCGGTTCATGTGGATGTGCAAGTCGCTTGTGCCATCCATTAAGTGAGGTGCGACTACCGGTAAAAGCTTTGTGAGTATGAGGGGGAGGTAGTCGATAAAGGCCTTCATGTTTATCCCCTTGAAGGATTGTTTGTCCCTGAAATGTCTTAACAGAACACGATTTAGGCCAAAATTCCATGTCAACATCATTATCTTCTATCAATTTAGAAACACTAAGAAGATTTTTAGTAAGGTTAGGAACAATTAGCACATTTGGCAATTTGAGATGAGATACAGAAGATGAGCCAACATGAGAAATAGACAAGTGATTACCATTTCCTACTTGAAGCTTTTCATCCCCTGTGTATGAATCGGCTATGTTGAGCTTGGTAATGTCGGGAGAAACATGATCAGTAGCACCGGTATCAAAATACCAAGTTGGATCAATAGATGATGGGCTGTTCTGATGGGCTAAAACAGCTTGGCGCTGGTTTGCTTTAGGATTGGGCCGTCTAGATGGAAAATCTGTTGGTTTCCCCTTTGCCAGCAATTAATAGCTTCGTGACCAGGTTTAGTACACAATTGACAAATTGGGCGTCGTCTCCTCTGGTCAGAGCTGCGATTTGCATTAGAGGAATTTGACCTTTGATCAACATTTGATGGAGTACTTGATCTGTGACCAGCATAGGAGTGAGAAGAGCGATGATTTGATCGATTAATTGTTAGGGCAGAAGCAGGGGCTTGTGAGACGGACGCAAGACGAATATGTTCCTGTTCAATCCTAGCTTCTTCCTGTAACAAAAGACCTATGAGATCATCAACTGTTAGAGTTTCAGACTTCATCATAAAAGCAATAATGAAACTGCCATAAGATGAATCCAGGTCAGCAAGAATGTAGTTGATTAGGTCTTCTTCATGAACTGGGCGTAAGTTCTCTGCTAAAGAATCAGCAATCGACCTTTTTCTTTCAATGTATTCCATCATAGTCATAGACCCTTTTGTAAGGGTCTGAAGTTGATTTTTGAGTTGCATACGACAAGCCCTAGTTTGAGCTTGATACAAGATTTCGATAGTTTGCCACGCTGTGTAAGAAGAGTTTGAGTGGGCAACCAGAGCATGAGCTTGATCCGTCATTGTGGATTTGAGCCATAATAAGACAAACCTATCACGTTTCTTCCAGACAACATAATCGGGGTTTGGTGCTGTGGTGGCAGGAATAGCAGCAACCGCCGGAGTAGAATCAGGGGCTGGAACGGCTGCAACAGCAGGAACGGTTATTGTTTCAGTCGGTGGTTTAGGATTCAGAACATAATCCTCCAAATCGAAGGCTTCAAGGGCTGCGACTATGGTTGTGCGCCAAAGTGGATAGTTGGTGCGATCGAGTTTCACAGTGATTTGTGGTATTTGAAAATTCAAGGTAGGGGCTGTGGTGGTAGCCAGATTGAGAATACTTTGAGATGCAGATGCCATAACAAAGAAAAAATCAAAGTGTTATCAGCTCTGATACCATAAAGAACACAGGTATTGAATGATATTGTATCTCTTCAATCGTATGTATTTTGATACAAGAGGTACATGAGTTTAAATACAGAGAAGTACAACTAAAGTGGAGAAATAAACTCCTACATATCTGCTATGACTATTTGACGAGAAGACTAAATCAAAGAACAATGTACACGTGTTATTTTAATGCTATTAAAATAATATATCAATAATTAAAAAATTCACGTTTTTGTAAACCACTTCACAAATTCGAGAAAAAGAAAAACTCTTATTGCTTAATACCAAGTAAACTTTGGATTATAGTTTATTTAACAAATAAAACTTAAGAAATATAATTATTTAAATACTGATTTTTATAAGTAAACTTTGGGTTATAGTTTGAATATATGCTAGAAATATAAAATTTTGTTTCATTATTTATCGGATATTTTATTTTCACATATTTAGAAAAGAGGATGATAAAATGTAAAAATAATGAATAATGATGGTGTGGTCCAAAAAAATATTAGAGAATATTTGTCCCTGCAACGTTCAATCCATTCATATATAATATATATATATATATATATATATATATATATATATATATGATATATATATATATATATATATATATATATTAGTTTTTTTTTTTTTTTCTTATCTCAAATATGTCAAGTCATGTTCATTGCTAGAACATGGTTGATGAGGGGATCACCATGTGCATGATAATATGTTATTTGGTTGGTGTGGAAATATAAATGTTAATTGGTTAGTGTAGAAATATAATAAACTAAAAAATGGACATAAGTATTTAATTTGATTTTCAGAATTTAGTTATCATGATCCACAAGTTACTAACAGTTAAAACTTCTACAACTGTATCAATAGTGGCAGGATTACAATTCAAGACCGCTACGACAACCGACAAGATTCACCAAACCTAATGAAGACGGCGACAATCAAGCTTCATAAAGGCCATATACAAGACAAAACGAAGACAAAGTCGATTACTAACGCGTCTATAAATATCGTGTTTCTATAGAAAATTGAGTTTCATAATTTTTTTTTCTTTTTGTATTTTAAAATCAAATAAAGTTTACATTTATTTGATTGAAATAAAAAAGTTGTTCCACAATAACTTTTTATATAAGAACTAGAGTTTGGACCGTCTGCGCGATGCTGCGGAAGTCCGGTATGTTGAAAAACGACATGGATAAAGTTTTAGGAGAAATTTTGAGACAACTTTCAATATAGTTACTTTCAACCATAACCCAAAATTGCAAACTACAATATTGTTTTCTACCACATTGATGCTAATTTATGCAGTTTTATGGTGACGATCTTGAGCCAAATTCCCAAATCAAACAACATAACAACTGTAATTACATTCAAACATTTGTTAATCTTTTATCATCTTAAAAAAATAAGAACATAAGCAGGGTGCTAAAAAAATTAGAGGTCCCAAGATAACTTTTTGCAAATTGTACCACAAAAGTATAAAAATAAAATTTTTATCTTAACAATTATATATAGAGGAAACGGACAAAAACAAAATTTGAAATATATCATATTTGGTACAATACTACAAGACAATTAATAAAAATTAATATTAATGAAAACGAATACTATAAAAACAAATTATATAAGGAACGAAAAATGTAACTTTAAAATATAATAAGGAACCGAAATCGCAACTTACAAAATACCAATTATATAACTTTATAATAATTAGTGATGAAAACTATTATTTCAAAATTAGTTGAGGGGAAAATGTATAAATATAAAAGTTTGCTATAAGAAGAGTCAAAATTGTTATTTCAAAATATAATCTTAATTGAATTTTGTATTAAATGCTTTAATAATTATAATATGATCTGAATTTGATAGTTTTGGCTCTAGAAAATGTAAAACCAAATGAATAGTGATTTCCTCTGGCAAACTCATTTTGTATTTAATATATATATATATATATATATATATATAATATATATATAAAACCTTATTTGAAATTTGTATTAAATGCTTTAATAATTATAATATAATCTGAATTTGATAGTTTTGGCTCTAGAAAATGTAAACCAAATGAATAATGATTTCCTCTCGCAAACTCATTTTGGTATATATATAAATATATATATATATATATATATATATATATAATATAGATATATATATATATAAATATATATATATATATATATATATATATATATAGTCGAGAACCGGTTAGGCCAGTTACCGAATTTTGAGAGAATCTTAGGCCCGAGACTGGTTTTGCCTGGACCGGTTAAAGCCTGATTTTGTGTACGTCTAACTCAAATGGGTTCAACCTCTCATCAGGCCCATAATGATGCTTTCAATTTGTTGTGTTAAATAAGGATGCCAAAAAGTCATGTGGGGTCCTCGTCCCGTATGACGGTATTTGTTTGAAATAATTGGGGTCGGGAGTAAGGACAGTGCCAATGTTAACCCCCGTTTTAATTTGGAGGCGGGGGTGGGCAGTCCTGTCCCAACACCCCAATAGGGGTCCGTTAATAAATTATATATATTTACACATTAATTATATAAATATAATAAACAATAACATGATTTTGACGTGCCAAAATTCAATAAAAAACATGTTTTTAAGTTGTTTGTAACATATAAAATTGTGCTATAAATATTATTTGTTACCCAAGAAAGTAGCCCAAAAATCAATCGGGGACGGGAAAACGCGGGCAGGGGCGCGGGTAATAAGAGGTATTCGGGGGCGGGGGCGGGGGCGGGGGCGGAGAATGCAATCTCCGTCCCGTTTGCCCCCATTGACATCCTTAGTGTTAAACTTAGAGGTGGCCAAACCGGATATTTAATCCGAACCGAACTAGTTTGAAAATCGATCAGTATGAAACCGGTTTTTAATATAAAAAGATTCGATAATTTCTATCCGATTTATGACAGTTATTAGAACTTAGTTTTTGCAAAACCAGTTTACAAGTCTATTCAGTTCAAAAAAAAAAAAAAAAAAAAAAGATGACACACCTCCATTTTCTAGTTAAACACCCCCCCAAAAAAAAGATGTTTACAAGTCTATTCATTTCAAACGAGTTTCCTCCAAAAGTGATTTCTTGTTAATACATATATAATATATATTTGCAGTTTCTAACCACCTACATTGTTAATGACCCAATCTTTAAGACTCAACTTATTAGCAAGAGTTATCATTCCGATTCCGATTCCGACTATCATCAGATGACACACCTCCATTTTCTGCTGTTTCCAATGCACTATCGGAACCGGAATCCGCGTTTCCCATGCGAATCGGTCGCAAAAAACCTTGCATTCGCAACAAATAACTCTGGCTAGACGGCTCACTCCTCCTCATGTAACGGGTGGTTGCAACAGTTGACCCATCGGGGTCAGCAGGGATGGTGGGAAGGGCATTTAGGTCAAGATTTGGAAATACAGAAGATCTGCATCGAGGGCATTTCACATTTAATCTAAGCCATTCATCAATGCATCCCACATGGAAGTTATGAGCACATGGAAGCCCACGCACCTGACAATACCATTGTTACATATTATTATCATTAGTAAAAAAAAAAAAAATAAACAAATTGTAGGTTGCTATTATGGGTAAAGAAATGTAAGATTACCTCGTTGCCTACATGGAACTCTTCCAAACAAATTGGACACTCGCTACAATCGGTGGGAACGGCTTTCAGCATGAACTTTGGAAGCTCTTGGATTAGTGCTTCCACTGCTTCTCTCTAATTTCCCAAATTACAAAGTTTGTTTTCAGATAAGAGATACACAGTAAGGGTTGTTTGATAGTTGCTGATTGAGTCAGATATGAATCCAAGCCTCTTATCAGACCCAGTAAGAGGCATATCAGAGATTATAGTACCGAATCAGAGGATTCTAATTGTGGTATGAAACAGTCTGAATCTGACCGAGTCAGACCCAGCCTCTTACCAGACTCAGCAAGCAAGAGGCATATCAAACAGTCCACGCTAGCAGTATTAGATTTTCTTTCCAAAATAACCCTGAGAGATGTAATTTATTATTACCTGGGGTTCAGTCAAGTAAAGTCCTGGATGATATGAAGCTGCATCTTGACCCATACCTCTCATTTCTTGGCCAGCAGCAGTTTCAAATGCCCAATCAGGTACACGAATCATATCAACCAAAACCTACAACACATTTCTTTCGTTTATTTTCATAAATCTTGAGTAAGCTTAAAAAATGAAGTGAAAATGATATATCTAAACTAAGGGTACACGTACGTACCCCATATTCTGAAAGAGGAATCCCTTGTTGAGCACGTAAAGAATGAGCTTGTCTTCTTCTTAACCACTGTAGAATAGATGGATGTTATAAGAATATCAAACTGAAATTAAAGTCTTTGAGGTGTTTTATGAAGCATACGGTTTTCATGGACATTCCAGCAAGGCAGATGAGTCCACAGTAGCTGAAAAGCAACCATATAAGGAAACCCCATTTCTGACCTTCTTCAGGCAACTGTAATGATGATTTGCACAAAAACTTTTCATCAAAACTTTTCACTTGAAACTAATAGTTGAAGAAAATAAAAGATTATATTTACACAATCTCTTGCACTACTAAACCATAGAGATCCAATAATGGTCCATGCCCAGAGGAAAGGATAAAGCAATACACAAAGAATGGAGAGAACCACCACTCTTCCACAAAAACGAGCATGTCTCTGTTGTCGCCCAAAATCCCTATGTCATTTGATTTGAAATAGCAACTATGAGCTATGAAGCTATTAGCAATTTGAAGATATGATCAAGAACAACTTACAATCCCAATCCTGAAGCAAGTCCATTGTCCACAAACATCAAGAGCCGGAACACAAAAACAGTAGAGTAATCGACCTATTTCAAACAAGGACAACATGAATGAATTGTGCTAAGATGAATGAATTCGAAAAAAGGAGGAAGATCGAGAGTTTAATTTGGAAATCACGTACCACAATCCATATGTGCAATGGGTGCGTACAGAGATGGTAATGGTTCCAATTGATCGCAATGATAATTCTAATAGTTACAGTCGTCAAGGATCAACAAATGAAAACGGAAACGAGTATAAAAAAAGGAAAAGATTATATATCGCGAAAGGATACATGCTAGTGGCAAGCATCGCTAGGAAAAACCCATCATACCTGCAAATTTCGGAGTTAGAACTCATAGAAATCAGGAATTTTACAAAAAAAAAAAATGATGAATTTTGAAAGTAAAGTATGCGAAGATAGGTTATGAAAACGAACCACTTAAAATCTGCTCCCCTGAGAGTCATTCTGAAGACGAATCAAGTTACAAAACCCTAGCTTTTACTTCAGTACTAACTGAACTATAATTTGTTGACGTAAAAGCTTTAAATCCGAGGATGAAAAAGGCACGATTTCACCCGATTTTGGAAGAATGGAGACTGAGAAAGGAGTAAAGCAAACGCCGTAGATGCCAGTGCCACGATGTTTGAGAGAAATGTGGAGATGAAATTGCGAAGAAGTTAACGGATTTTGGATGACATAAAGTAACGGCGGTTTTTGAGCAACAACCCGAAAGCAATTTCTGGGACGATGTTAACTGTTAAGGGCTAAAAGCAAGAAAGTAAAGTTCGGTGGTTAATATGAAAAAAAAATTAAAGGATAGTTGGTTTTTTATTCTTAAAGTAAAGTTCAAGAGCAATTTATATTAAAAAAACAAAACGTAAATTTGTTTTGGACTTTGGAATTTAAAAAGGTTTTTGGTTAAAAGTCAAAACCCAAATTTTTTTTTTTTTTAAATGACTCGTAATGGTAATCAAATTTTATATTTTATACATATTTAGTCATTAACTTATTTTTGTACTCAATATATTATTGAATTTGTTAAAACTGCTAAAAAAAAGTATAAATATGACCGGATATATTGGGTTTTGGATGGTTCTGATGTATTTTCCGGCCAAATATGAGTTTTTCAATCATTTTAGACTTTTTCGATTATCTTCTCCGAACATGTTTGAATGTTCTTCATCATGTTCATCGTGTTTATCTTTTAGAAACGAAAAGCCTTATTGTGTTCTTCTCTTCTTGTGTCGTGTTCGTCTCTTTAAAAAACTCATTATATTCATAAGTCGTTCTTGTTTAACCCAAAAATCGTTCTTTTTCAAGCTTCAGATTAAAAAATCGAATTGAACCCTTTAAAATCGTTCATGTTTAAGGTTTCAAAACCCATAGAAGATTTGTTCAAGCTTCAAACCTTAAAATTGAACCCATATTTAAACCCTAAAATCATGTTCAAAGTTTCAGATTTTGGATTTCGAAATCTACCCGTAAAACTGTAATTATTCAAGCTTCAAATATGTATCTATTCTAACTTCAAACCCATAGTCAAACCACTCAAACCTAATCGAACACATATTCAAACCCTAAAATCACGTTGGAGTTCTTGAGTTTGTGATTCTGGAAACAAAAACTATAATATAAAATCGAGAGAACAACAAACCTAATTTTTTTGAGTTCTCGAGTTTGATTTTTAGAACTAAGAACAAAATGCAAACCCATATCGATTTTTGGAGTTCTTAAGTTTGATTTATATGTGTTTCAGAGGAGAGAGAAAAGAAAAGAAAATGAGAGAATGTAACGACCAAAAGTTTAATATTTGACTATACTCTATTTTGATATGTAAATGTTAAAGTAGGTTGTTATTCCGAAAATGACAACTTGCTTTAGATTGAATATATGTAACGTCTGGTTCCTAGTATGTATTTAAAATAATAATTTATTCACTTTTATAGAGAAACTCGACGAGTTGGAAGCCCCAAACTCGTCGAGTAGAGATTATCAGGACCGCGGGTTGAGAAACCTACTCGACGAGTTGGGAGGCCTCAACTCGACGAATAGGCTGACAGATGTGAAACCCTAATTTTCGGGGTTTGTACCCTATTTAAATGTCTTAAACCTTTCATTTTGGCCTCATTTTGCAGCCTCTAAGTCCCAAACCCTAAATCTCGAAACCCTAATGCTATTGTGAGTGTTTGTGAGCCATTTCAAGTGTTTTAGTGTGTGTTTTGAAGCCATTGGAAGAAGGAAGAGCTTAGAGACACAAGAAGGAGCATATAGATCCAGAATCCTTGCCTCATACACAACATTTTGCTGGTATAAAGCTTGAACCTTGCTTTGTGGTCATTTAGATCTCCATTTTTGAAGGTCCTTGCTTATTTTGGTCCAAATGATATGATTCTTGGGTTTTAGGCGTCCCAAGTGGAGAACACTTCAGATCTAGGGCCTTAAGGGGTTTTCATGGCATAAAGGTGCCAACTTTATGGCCATGGAAGTCTCATGCAACCTTTAGACCATCATTTTGGTCTTTTGAAGCTTCTATGGCCATGCATGCGGATAAAGTTTAAGACTTTACGTGATCATTTAGTCCCTAGAGTCCAGATCTATGATCTCGTGGTCTATCTTTTAGTTTTGATGGTGTTTGGATTAAGACCTTGGCCTTTTTGGGTTAGGGTTTGAGCTTAATCCATTTAGGAAAGGTATCAAGGGGTAAAGTTTGAAACTTTACCCTTCTAGAGGCATTTCCAGTCTAGATCTGGAAGATGGGACTTGGATTTGAAGGATAAGGGCTTAATGCATTAAGAAGGATGGACAGACTGAGGAACTTGACGAGTCCACAAGGGAACTCAACGAGTTGTATTAGGAAAGTCCCGATTCTGTTAATAAGGAAGAACTCGACGAGTTGGATCGCGATTTCACGCTTCTGTGATTTATGGGAACTCGGCGAGTTAAAGGGTAAACTCGACGAGTTGGGTCAACTCGGACCGTTGAATTTGACTTTGACCTACGTTTGAATTTGACCATAGTTGACCCTAATGGGTTATGAGTATGAAATGACAGCTAAGGGATTGTTTGGTTCAGGGATTGTGTGACAACCGTCAATTTCTGGTCAAGTCAAAGTCAAATAAAGTCAACAAGTCAAACCGGTCAACTCAACTAACCCTTGTATATTAGGGTTTACATTATGTTTACTATTGTACAACTCACTATCTTAATGAAAAGTATCACTTAGGGTTCCCACATGTTTGGAAAATCTAAACCCTAATCGGGGTAAAATGATGTAACTACTCAATAAAATACTATTACATACCCTACGGGGGGTATAACACTCATAACAAGGTTTAACGGGGCTTACGAACCTTTCATTTCGAGGCTAAACACTCACAAAGGTCACAAACAAAGTCTCTCTAAATCTCTCTCACTCTATCTCTCTCTCTCCCAAATCTCTCTCAAAATCTCCTTCCACTTTTTATAATCATTCGGGGCATCCCGACCCATATCTTAGTCAAAAACCACTCGAAACGGGAAGATTTCTCGAAAATCAACCATATAGAACCGAAACTAGCTTTAAGGACCGAAACCCTAATAGAACCGAACCTCCCTTAAAGAACCGAAACCTTTTAGAACCGAACTCCCCTTTGAGGACCGAACTCACTTTCGGTTCGGATCAAGTCCCTTCAGACCGAAGCTCCGCCTGCTCTCGGTCCATTTCGCTTTTGGTCCATTTCGCTTCCAATACGCCTTCGGTTCCCACTCGAGCATTTTCGCATGCGAGTCTTCTCGGACGGAAACTACTTTCATTTACCAGCCCATAGACCGAACCTACCTTCGGTTCTAAGCTCCAAGGACCGAACCCTCACCTCAGACCTCGCAGGTTCGCCTCTTGATCCCAGTTTTCGAGTACTTTCGCGTTTTAAGCTCGTTTTTCATGATTTTAACATGGGATTTTCACCCAAACTCATATTTTGGCTTTTAAGACCCTATATATTCATATTTTAATCACATTTTTGGGGGAAATCTTAATTTAAGAATAATATCTATTGTGTAAGATATTGATTTGGAGTGTTGACTTTTCATAAAGTTATGACACAAGCTATCTCCCATACCCACTTTATGATAACCCCCCAGTCACTATTCATATCTACCTAGTCAACTATTTGTCCTCTCACACTCCCCTCCAGCAAGATATCTTGATCAAAGACTGGAAAGCCCTCATCTCTTCTTCCACTTTACTCGCTCTCTCACCAAAAAGCAAACACCTCTCTCTCACTTTCTCACTCTAAAAACTCGAGACTCCAAGGCTGATATTGAGCTTTTCACTCACTTTTAGTAAGTATTTTCATCCTACATTTGAACATTCTTCCCACCTTCACTCAAATTATGGGTCTCTCATAACAAATATCGCCATATTTGTTCTTAGATCTTCAACTCTCCAAGCATTTACCAAGTGTTCTTGACTTGGAAACCTCTTTTATTCAGCATTCATCTAAGGAAATCACTCAAGGTGAGTTCATACCCCTACATTTTCATGTTTTCTTCAAGTTTTAGGGGGGGGGGGGGGAATACAAGTTAATACACCTTAATATAACTCAAACTCATACTTCAGCTTTTCACAGAAAAGTTGAGTCCTATTCACGGACTGTTTAGACCATTTTAAACTTAATATCTTTCAAAACTGTTTAATATGCAAGTAGTTCAGGTTTATATCTTTCTAATGATGTTGGGTCAAAATTATGGTTTATACTTTACTTTTCTAAGAAAATGTATTTTTGTGTCTTGGACCGTAAACAACTTGGTGTTTACGGCCGTATACGTGTTTACGGTTGTGTTTACGGCCGTGAACAGGTTTACGGCCGTAAACCCATTCACGGCCCATGTCTACTATATATAGGGTGAGGAGTGCATAGTTGTAGTAAGGTGGAGAGCTTAAGTGTGTGAAACCCAAGATGTTCCAGAGAGAGAAAGTGAGAGAGAAGAGAGGAGCTTTAGTGTGTGTTAGTGTGTGTGTGAATCTTGTATCTGGATCTTAATTCATATCAATTCATACAAGATTCATCTTCTTCTTCTCCTTCTTCTTCATTTGATCTGGCATCATCCGTTTGATTGGGATTCCGCACCATCAAACGGATCTGATTGATACACAAGCAGATTGGGGACTTACAATTGGTATCAGAGCTTGGTTGTATCAATAATTTTTGTCAGATCTGGAGCTTATTTGATCTTATTTTTGAAGTATTCTTGCGTTTTTGGATAGATCTCTGAAAATTAGGGGGGGTTTGTTCTTCGCGTTTTTCATAAAAACGAGTTCTGGATCGAGTTTTGGAGCAAAAATGGTGAAAAACGTCGTTTTTTTTTGCGATCTGTTGAAGGGTTTACGGTCTCTGAAGGGTTCTCGGCCTTTGAAGGGTTTACGGCCGGCGGTTTGCGGTCGGCGGTTGCGGCTCGGACGTTTGCGACTCGGACGTGTGCGGCTTGGTGGCTTGAATACGGCTTGGTGGGTTAGGCTCGGCAGCATCAGTCTCGCACACGCATCTAATAAAAAATTAAGAAGCGATTTTGGGGGTGCCGGGGGATCGAACTCCCTACTAATCCACGCGTCTTACCAACTCTTGTAGGCTGCATCTTGGTTCATCCCTTCCGATTTTAATTCAAATACACTCCCATTCGCACCTAATTTCGCCAATTTGACATTTTTAGCCCAATATTCAAATT